ACCAGTCAGATCAGAAGGGACCAGGTATTTCTTCTTGTCTAGGTCACCTATTCTGGCTTTAGGAGCTTTTTCCACAATTACCTAGTACAGAATAAAAGAAACACTTTTAAATATAGACATTTTAAATGTACAGTTCAGGTAGCCTTAAGAGATGTTTACGTTACATAATTAACAACAAAATGATGCATTTTGGCCATTCATTTACACAACAACAGTGTTTTGTAGGCCTGAAAAGGCAGTTTTGAAAATGTGTTTCCCAGTGATGGGTTGCTGCATAAAACATGTGCTGGATAAGTTGGTGGATCATTCCACCGAGGCGGTTCCAGATTAATGAAGAGACTAAGCTGAAAAGAAAATAAATGAATGAAATGCAAAATGGGCAACATGGTGGCTCAGTGGTAAGCACTGTCGCCTCACAGCAAGAAGGTCGCTGGTTTGAGTCCCGGCTGGGTCAGTGTGCATTTCTGTGTGGAGTTTGCATGTTCTCCCCATGTTTGCATGGGTTTCCCCCACAGTCCAAAGACATGTGCTTTATGTATTTTATGACACCACAAAATAAACGAAAGAGCATAATATGAAACAATAGACTTTTGTTTCATCCAAACAATATAAATATAGTCATATTGCATAGCTCCAGCATGCAGTGTTTCTTTTTTTACCTACCAGCCTGGCAGGCAGAATACAGTGCTTTTAGTCATTTTCATGGATCAGTGTTGTCATCATTAAACTTTTTAGTACACTGCAGTCACTTAAACATCCCCTCAGATGAAACGGCAGGTTTATTTTCAATCGAAATCTTATTTCAAGCCCACAATGGGAGATTTTTGGCTTCGAGCAAAGAGGATCTGAGAAAACCTGTGCTATTTTTGACAATTAGGCTGCAGATGAGGAACAAGATAACTGTACGAAACTCAGAAGCCCAATACGGTGTTTGTGCTTTTTGTTTTTGTTTTCTCCACAATGTAAAACGTTCATTTCAGGATCAGTAATTTAAAAAAGAGCTTGGAAAAAAATGACAAAGTATTCTAGTGAATTCGTCAGTGAGCAAACATTATATGTACAGCATTGAATATAGACATCTTATAGCAAAACGAAGTCTTGTGAGCTAATGTCAGGTTCAAACAAATAAATACATTTTCTTGAGTCCTAAGTGGTCATAAAACCCAGGAGACTAATAAAAACATATCACAATACAGAACAATTCTAAATATGTGTTAAATAACAACTACATTATCCACAATGCTGAACGAACATGCAAAGAAATGAACCAGCATGACTATAAAGTGCAAAAAACACCAACATAGATCAAAATGACAATTGTTTTTGGTTTTTATATATAAATAAAATGAAATATCTCTCATATTTGTAAAGAACAAGCATTTCAAATGGATCCAACATAACTCTACATTCTCGCGTAGCTTCATATAATACAGAACATGGTTTAGGATTTTCCTATGATAGCTAAATATGCTTAATCATGCAATTGTTGCTTGCTTTGTTGTTTATAAGGCAAACGAATGGCGATGTAAACATGTTGACTAGTGTATAGGACATGGAGGCTATTTTAAGAATCAGCCCTATCACCCTGGTCATAAATGTATTATTTTACCACACAATTGCGAAATAAGATCATACACATCCATATAATACGCTTCTTATTAGACTGTAAGAGTTCAATCTGTTCACCAAGCCTAATGGATTAACGTTAAAGCAGATGAGACAGTTGAAAACAAAGCGACCCGAAGGAGTATTGAATCATTCGCCTTTAAAGCAAGTTTAATTTGAACGTATTGTTTTAACGGGTTAAAATACGCTTTTAACAAGAATCATCTATGTGTTTTTTTATTTAAATAATGAAAAAGAAACCATGTTACTACAAACGAGGCCTTTATCATGTTCGCCCTTCACATGATACAAAAGCTAAATCTGTTTGTATTAATGCACATGATGGTAAAAAAGAACAATTAACGACAGATGAGTCAGTTTTATCACAAATATAGCATCTGAATAAGGAAAAACACATCAAATACTTCGCGTTTTACGTTTGTTGTTGTTCATTTAACGCTAGCTTCTGTTTACACATCTCATACGACACAAACCGACTTACAGGAACCCTGTCTGGATATTTCTTCCTGATTTTCTCTCCCTCTGATCGCCTCTTCTCAAAGGGATGCTCTTCTTTGTATTGGAACTTCATGGTGGTTGCTGTTAAGAGTAAATTTGTGTCACAAACACACACAGTGTTGTCAGAGATGTAACCAGGCGCTTCACACACAGCAGCTGTGCTTTCCCCTCGGCGCATTAACACACGCAGAGTTTATTTACATTATTTTTTTAAGTAAAAGTCGCTTTTTAAAGAAAACCTCACTTTCGAAATTAACTATTTGAAGTATTTACATCAACATCTGTTGAAGGTGCTCGACGGTTTACTGGTGTATTCTCTGAAATCTTGTTTTGTTGACTGAGGTGAGAACTAGTTTTTCAGTCATACTGTAAATGCGTGAAGCGGTGCTGCGGTCGGTCATATGACCGTCTCTACCCACTTCCGCTATACGAAGTGACGCAGCGGTGTTTTTAGCCAGAAATAAATATCCAAATATTTCCAATAAACCACTCATTACGGAGAGACGACATTGTTTTTGAAAAAAAAAAGTAAAAAAAAAATGCAAACCTACCCTCATTAGAAAAAAAACTAGCGTTACAAATGTAATTTTATACAAGACATTATATGCGAGCTAAATATGTGTATGTAAACACATATACATACAACTCATTTTAATCAGTTCATAAGCTCTTTTGCAAACAAACATGATTTAAAATGAATACTCAGTTGTTGTTTTGAGCATATGAGAGCTTTTTTTGCATAAAACATTTTAAATAGTTATTGGACAACAAAACCTAGGATTTCACTTCAAAACTTAAGAAACCAATATTCGATGATTTTGTGATACTCTTGACATATAAATAAATGAGATTTTGTATCATCATAACTTAATATTTTACTCAAACATTTTGCCCCAGTTTTTCAAGTCTCTTAATTTATTTCATTATATATAGAGCCAATGCACACCTCCCACCAGTGCCGATATGCAGCCATATTGCACTGCTACGTGTGTGATATTGCATTTATGTAACAGTTTGACAGCATAATCGTGTGTAAAAAAAATAAATAATAAAAATATCAAAATATGCACACCCTTTTTTCCCAAGAGGAACTACTTTCTTCCACCATTCATTCACATCTGCAGCTGACGTCAGAACAGCAGAAACTAGTTACTAATTCACCAACGTCACTTTACAGCTAGTGTTTGAACGATTCTCTAGCGTAATGTCTAAAGTGAAGACAAAACAGCTGATTTTGCTCACATTTTAAGATTATAAGGCTGAACGGCATGAAATTCCATCAGTCTACAGAGATTTCCCACTTGCAAATACAGCAGATTACTGTGGTAAAAATGCAGCACTACAACATGCAAAAGAGAGAGATCGACTTAGAATGTCACTTACCTATTAAATGCTGAGAAATTGCTGTTTTTCCCCCTTAATGCTGCGTTCCCACCAGACGTGGAAGAAGCATCAAGCGTGAGTGATTTGCATGTTAAGATACGCACAAATGGCGTGATTATGATGTAGAGCCTGTTGTTGGTGTCCCTAGGGAAAATCCTCCTGCACACACCGACAACAGTTCATCAAACTGGGCTCGGCTCAATCAGAAGAATATTTCCATCATCCAGGTTAAGTTTCTGGAGGAGTTTTAAAACTCACAGAGTTCGGTGTGAGTTTTAAAAAGATCAAGTGGACTCAGACACTGCTCCCAACGAATCAACGCTGTTTTTCAGCCTTCATAAAGCTCATAAACACTGTTATTTTCTCAATAAAATCCATGTTAGCCATTTAGCAATGAAGCTAGGGTCACCGGGCAGACAGAAGCCCTGCCCATCACGCAAATCCGCATCTGTTGTGAAGTGGATTTGATGCGTGAATGAAACGAGTAAACTTAAATGTTGACGCGTCTATTTATGTGTGAATAGCGTGATTTATCCGAGCGTTCCGCGTCTGGTGTGAACACAGCATCAGGACTTATTATGCAGTCTCTGTTACCATCTTGTGGCGGAACATCAACCGTCTTTGCTTAGTATGACCGGCTGATCTCCGAAATTATAAATATTTAAAATAGGCACTATCATTATAAATAAACTGCATAGTTGCAATCTAAACAACTACATTCTCTCCTAAAAAGCCTTAAAAGTACATTATGTTGTCCAACAGCTGCAATATTTATTAAACTGTAGTCCTCTGCTTGCCACTCAAGAACTAGATAGATAGATAGATAGATAGATAGACAGATAGATAGATAGATAGATAGATAGATAGATAGATAGATAGATAGATAGATAGACAGAAAGACAAAGACAGACAGATAGATAGACAGGCAGAAAGACAGGCAGACAGACAGACAGATAGATAGACAGGCAGAAAGGCAGACAGATAGATAGATAGATAGATAGATAGATAGATAGATAGACAGACAGACAGACAGACAGGCAGAAAGACAAACAGACAGACAGACAGACAGAAATATAGATAGACAGATAGATAGATAGATAGAAAGACAGGCAGAAAGATAAACAGACAGGCAGAAAGACATACGGACGGATGGATGGTTGAGATAGACAGATAGATAGAACAATAGAAAGATAGACAGAGGGATGGATGGATAGATATAGATAGATAGATAGATAGATAGATAGATAGATAGATAGATAGATAGATAGATAGATAGATAGATAGATAGATAGATACCCAAACAGACAGATAGAAAGACAGGCAGAAAGATATACAGATAGACAGAGACAAACAGACAGGTAGACAGATGAAAGACAGGCAGAAAAATAAACAGACAGACCGAGCGACAGACAGAAATTTAGCAGAACACTCCATCTTCAACAGTCCCAGTTCAACATTTCACTGTACTGCAAATGAAAACGGAAGCGAGAACATCAGATAGTGACACGTTTTTATTAGTAACGTGCACAGGTCTATGGACTTGTGTCCCAGGAAGCTGCCTTGAGACTTAACAAGTGTTAGATGGAGGAGAACAGAACTGACTTTATCTGACAGGTGCACAGACAAACCAACAAGGCCTTGAGTGTAAAAAAAAAAAAAAAAAAAAAAAAAAAAAAAAAAAAAACAGAGAGAGAGAGAGGGGGGGGGTGGTCTGTTGCTCAGTCAGCTCTTCAATACAATGAAGTACAAGTTTTAGAAATTCAAGTCTTACCATTATTACATTATCAGAAAAGAAAAACATTTGAAAAAAGGCGTCCAAGTGATTTCATAATCGACCACATACATTCTGTAGAGAAGAAAAGGCTTAAAATCTGTCATTCGGCTTCTTCAGCTCAAACTCCTTCACATCCTCCCTGATAATTTATGATAAATTCATTTAGCGCCGAGAATAAAATAGATTAATTGGCCAAAAGAATAAAACATCATTATTTTCTGCAGAGTGTGGAGAAACAATCTCACAATCACACAAGTCATTAAAACCCATGTCTTCCAACACAGTACCTCAATAATAGCATATACAACGCTTTACCCCGATTACCCTGAAGTCTACCGGTCTGTCATAATCCACTTCTTCCAGTCAACTCTATTAGATGTGCAGAGTGTCGTGTCCACTTCCGAGTGGCCTCGTTTTATCCAGTGCATTTAGCAGATCTGCACCACTTTGTGAAGTGAGGTATGGTGTCCCAAGCTGGGATTGAAGACGCAAGTCAAGAAAAGGTCTGTTTGTTGTTTTCCTTATCCCAGCATCCTCAAATATTTAAAAAGAAAGACAGCAGATGTCCTCGTACACACACACACACACATAACTCACACACATACATACATACATACACGATCAGCATAGGTAGAGCTGTAAGGCAGAGACTCCATTTTGAAGAGAACACAAACTAGGCAAAACGAAAGCTTCTCGAAGCATCCTAAAGTGTGCATCTCATTTTGAGTTCAGATTGACTCTCCTCTTTATAGGCCTCCTGTAAGGCTGTTCTGTAGGAGGCGAAGGGCTAACGGAGAGGCGGATGCCAGATCGAGAAGCAGAAACAAATGAAAAACGGCCGGATGATCACCAGAGCCGATGCTGGTGGAGATTTCTGCTCAGGACGGATCGTACGTCTGCGGTGAACCTGAAAGAGGGAACATACATTAAAGATGCATTTGAGTTCAGGGCTACATTCGCACTGCGAGGCTTTGAGCTCAAATCTAGGGCTGCACCAGACTGCATCTGGCATTACTGTACGTTCAAACCGAAAGTGGCGAGAGCGTCCAAGGTCGCTCTGGCGACAACGATGTCTGTCTTCAGCTCCGGCGGCGAGAGCATCAAAACTCGCTACATTGATCTCGTATTTAAAGGAGCCGTTGCAGCATATCAGTTACATTCTTGCATAAAACATGTTTCTAGTGTGAAAATGTTGCACACTTCTTATCAAATTCATTTAACAATGGAAGATCAAGTTGCGTGTGGTGTGGCTTTGCTCTATTTATCCAATATGTGTCCATATGTCTGAAATATCCTGAAGCAGTAATACTGTTCTGTACTGTCACGTAGTGTGAGATTCCCGCTTTTTTAAGATAAATATGTGTAACATTAATGCACATCAGTAACTCGCCAGTAAGTTATTTAATGCATGTTCCTGTGTTACGACTGGAGTTTATTTAAATATTTATTATTGCGGATTGTCCTGTCTTTTTCTTTTGTCCCGCCTTCTTGTTGTTTTTCTGTTGTTTCATAGGCTCCCCATACCGGCGTGATTCCCTGATCTGATTGGCTGCTGGTCGCAAAAGCACGTATAAAAAGGAGCTTCCGGCAGGGTTCGAGGAGCTCATTTCTGTGCGTTCGGTATTTGGAGTGGAGCTCCTGGGTTTCCCTCACCCCTTCGGCCGACGACCAACAACAACCAACTTTGTATTGATGACCATCATATGTTTAAATATTTTTGAGAGTTTGAGCGTGTAGGGGTGACCTGCCTATTTATTTGATTACTTTTGACTTTGTTTATGTTAGGGAGTAAGGTAAGATTCTTGTATTTTTCTTTAAATAGTAATAGGTAATTTAGTGGATTTATTTTATAGATTCTTTTGTTTGTTATTTTGGACTGTGGTCACCCTGACGAAATGCTCATTTATATAAACCCTATTTTTCTATAATAAATATCTTCATATATACTCTCAATTGAGTGTGTGTTTGGTTGTCGACCGAAGGGAATCTTTTGCTTTAAGTTTTGTTTAGTTTGGGAAATCCACCACCCCAACACATTTGTTTTTTCTTCGTTTATTATGCCCTTTTTGTTTCCCCTAGACTTGGGGCGTAATACTGTAAGAAAACATTGTAAATAATTAATAATTCAGCGACCGCAATCATCAAACCCTTGGGAACAACTGTGGTCGGAACCAAAGTTCACAGGTCTGTGTTCTCTGAACTCATATCAAGCGATGGACGTCTTCATTCTGATTGCTTGCCGCCGAACCGCGTCATAGCTCATTACCATAAAGTTGACTTGATTTCAACTCTCCTCGACGCCCACGCCGGAGAAGACGTGCCGCACTGCTCCTTGCCACTTATCGCCGCCGGCTCTTATTGAAAATGAATGACTTCCGGCTGCTGTGACGCTCTTGCCACTTTTGGTGTGAACGTACGGTTAGGGCTGGCGATAAAATCGGTATCCATATTTATTGATAGAACACTACTGTCAACATTGATAAAAAATAAAGAAAGAAAGATCCGGTATGTAGTTTCGGTATGACGCGATATAGTTTTATTAAAACTGCTGAGCGTAAACCTTGGAAGCAATGCCAATAAGCTTAGGGGAATGACACGCACATGTTGTGAACTGCACATTTTCCAGCCGCACCTAGATGAAAACATCTCAACTTTTCCGAATGCCGCAAGGGCACCATAGTTCATTCAAGTCGTACTAACCAATCTGCTCCACACTTAATATGGAATATACACATTTCAGAAACAGTACACTAATTACCTCAGACAAACACAGCGCACCCAAACACTGCAGCGCTTTTTACTTTCCTCCATAAACTTGTATTTGAGCTACAGTAATGGTTTGTCTGTTTGTCATCCTCTGAGAAAATAGTTGATGGTCGCCAGGGGAGCGCCATTGCAAATGATGAAGGAAACCACGCACTCACACTTTGTAACTTTAGGTCAGATGAACAACACATGCGAAAATGAGTGCCATGAGAAGTAGCAGTGAGGAGATTGTAAATAAAAAGGATGCAAGGATGTCGCCTGAGTGGCTTTTTGGTTTCTTTTCTTGTGCATCCCAGCTACTAGCACCCAATCTGAAAGATTTATTAGCATAGGTTTTAATGTAGTCATTCAACTTCACAGTTTGTTGAGCAAAGGCCTTGTGGACTTGTGATTTTTCAGGGTTTTTTTTATTTGTAATTAGTTTGCAACAAATTCAAAAATTATTTTTTCACATTGTCTTTATGGGGTATTGTGTGTTGAATTTTGAGGACATTATTGAATTTAATGCATTGTGGAATAAGGCTGTAGCATAAAAACATGAGAAAAAGTAAAGTGCTATAGATACTTTCCAGATGCACCTCTTCATATTAGGATCATGCCCAACATATGAGGATATTTTCTATTTGTATCCCCTTCGAAACATGCTATAAATTACAAAAATACAGACTTTCCTCCATGTCTCCTGTTAATTTTTTTTACTTCCTGCCCTCCATCTGAATTTCGCGCTTTAACAGAACCATGTTATTGCAAACAACCTATTTGTGTCTACATATGCGTGCAATATGCGTGTTCTTTTTCGTATTAACAGACTGTATTTAACTGTTAATCGTATATTGTTTTGGAGTATGTCGTTGTATTTAGCACTGTCTGGAGCCAGCACCTAAGCTTTTCACTCATCATAGCAAACGTGCTGCTGATGATGCGACAATAAAAGTGATTTGATTTGACTGGGGAAAAAAGTAAAGCAAAATTCTATTTTTCTTGCCATATGAGCATAATTTCATTAGATGACCTTTTTTTGTGGCATTCACAGAGTTCTGACAAAAACAGACATGTGCCACATTATGAGTAAACAATAAGCAAACAAAAAATAATAATCAGATTTGAGCCACATTTGCCTGCACTGTGAATGTAGCAGCATTGAGTGAACACAATAATAACCATTAGACTGGGTTTTCAGCAAGTCCTCAACCTTTACCTTAGTGCATCCAGCATGGGCAGCAGGTTAAGAAGTGCTGTGTCACTGGGGTCACTAAACCATGACTTTATAGGTATTGCATTATCTGTGGGTCAGGAAATAAGAGAAGCGTTAACAAGGTGTATCCAAGTGAAAGGACTCCTCAAACAACACCAAAAACTTCAAAGCAGGACTTGATTTTGTCTAATGGGGATTGACTGAATGTATGGAGGACAAAACATGCAAATACAATGAAAAAATAAAACACACAAATATATAAATAAACGAGTAAATAAATCCATACATTTCTGCATAAATAAAACAATGAATTATATAGCTATGCAAATTAATAAATGTATATATAAAATCCACAAATTCCTGCATAAATAAATACATAAATACTTAGTGTGGGCAAATAAATAATTTGATTAATTACACAAATGTTGGGAGAATAAGAAAATGCTAAACTTAAAAGCTGATTTCCCTTTCAAACCTTTATTCACGAACTTACTTTTCCTCAGCTCAACATGCAAATGAGAGGGTGTCTGTCAATCATTAGAAGGCGGTCTTTTTGACACCATTGGTTGATCATAAGAAAAAAATTGCATGCAATTTTTTTTGACTGACTTTTGATATATATATATATATATATATATATATATATATATATATATATATATATATATATATATATATATATAAATTAAATATTGCATGACATTACAATATATACACACACACATTTATTTATTTGCATATTTATTTATTTCTTTCTTTATTGTTTTTTTTTCAGGAATTTATGGATTTATTAACTCAGTTATTTATAAATTTGCATATTTATTTATTCATTGTTTTTGGCAGTTTCGTCCTCCATATGAATGTATGTGATTTGTTGAACATGGCGGGTGAAAAAAAAATACAATAATGCTTCAAAAGAGTTTTTAATGTTTCAAAAGACCTTTTAGCCAAAAATTTGATCTCTAATATCTAAAATATCTAAAAACGGTGAATTACTCTTTAAATACACTTTTGTGTTTAAAACGAGAGTTCTCCAATAAAAAAAGAAAAGAAAATTGTATTAATAAAGGCAACCTGAATAAGAGTAACTTCTGTCTGAGTGGCCATTTATAGAGATGAAGACAAAGGTATCTATTTATAACTTTTATCTTTGCCATGGTGACAGTATATTTAACTAGCTGTTTTGCAAGATCCTGGTATTCAGCTTAAAGTGTAATTTAAAGGTTTAACTAAGGCTAATTAAGCAGAACAACAGTGATTTGTTCTGTAGTCAATCAGGAAAAAAAATCTCTTAAGGAGGCTACGAATATTGATTGCAGCTGTTTTTACATTAAAAATATATCAATAATTATGCACAAAATATTTTAAATATATAAATTTTAACTTTATCATATACATATTCATTCATTTTCCTTCAACTTAGTCCCTTAATTATCAGGGGTCGCCACAGTGGAATGAACTGACAACTATTCCGGCATTTGTTTTACGCAGCGGATGCCCTTCCAGGCACAACCCAGTACTTGAAAGCACCCATACACTTTCACATTCACACACACACTCATACACTACGACCAATTTAGTATTTCAATTCATCGCACGTCCTTTGGACTGTGGGGGAAACCGGAGCACCCGGTGGGAACCCACACCAACACGAGGAGAACATGTAAACTCCACACAGTAATGCCAACTGACCCAGCCGGGACTCGAACCAGCAACCTTCTTGCTGTGAGGCGACAGTGCTGACCACTGAGCCACCATGCCACCCCTTCATATACATATATAAATATATTTGAAATGTGTATTTTACTATAGCACAGTTTGATTAGGTCTACATCTTTTTTTTATTATTATTTAAAAGTTTGCCAAATTTTCTTTCACAACAGGATTCCCTACATTGTGGAAATCATTGGACCTTACAATTTCAACTTTTCAAGAAGTCAGAATATATTAAATGTATATTCAGATATATATATTTGAAACTAAAAATCAGGAAACTGTTGTACTTGGTTGTTTTCTGTTGTGACCATGTAATAACGCCACTTATTAAATCCTATGTGCGCTTAGTTTTTGATTACGGTGATGCTGAACATGCCAAATATGTCAGGGGTGAAACAGCCTAAAGTACACGAGCACAGATATCATGCGGAGCGACCAGCTGGATGACTGTTCGTGCACAAGTTAATCCTGCAAAAGCAGCACCTCATGCCACATACAGGGAGCTGATGAACTGCTCAAACTAATGAAATGAGCTAATTTCACTTAAATCTAGCTTAAAATTCACTCTACCTAACAATAAAAATGCATGTAAAATTCAAATTTGATTACCAAAAGGATAGTTCACTCCAAAACTGAAATGTTCCTACCATTTTCTCCCACTCAATTGGTTTAGAACTTGCTGTTGTTGATCGCAACAACGAGATAGTTCGAAGAATGCTGAAAAAAACGTTCATTGATATCCATAGTAGGAATAATTAAATGATTACAATTTTAGTTTTCTCTTTAAATGGGAAAAGCATCAAGTAGAGACTTGATTATTTGACAATGTGATTTGATTAAACATTAAATTTATTTCACAAAAACTTTAAATTGCCTTGAAGAACAGCATTTTCCATAACTAATTAAAAATATTAGCTAAAAATCAGCTTGAAATCAATATGTTGAAAGTTTATTTGTTAGTACGCATTGATATTATTTAGGTGAACATTTAATCCATGCATTTTAACCCACTGAAAAAAAGTTGTTTTGGTAATTGTCAATCAAAGTGTTTGCATGTGTTTAGAGGGGCGGTGCTTCTCTGACGATGTCAGTTCTTAACCACACCCCTTACCGTTAGTTTGCTATGAGTGAATGATGCACAAAAAGAAAGCCCCGCCCCCTACTCAATATTCCATTTCAGTTGGAAGTACATCAACATACTAAAACAAAAGTCTCACCAACTTCCACTTCACTTTGGACCAGGGGTGCTTAACCCTGTTCCTGAAGATCCACCTTCCTGCAGAGTTTAGCTCCAACCCTGATCAAACCCAACTAAACCAACTAAATAGGATCTGAAGGAGCACATGGTAATTAAAGACAGGTGTGTTTGATCAAGGTTGCAGGTGAACTCTGCAGGAAGGTAGATCTCCAGGAAGAGGGTTGAGCACCCCGCCTTTACACTAACACCCCAAATCGACAGCTCTAGTTTCCACAAATGTTTTGATTGCTCCGATGTTTTTAATAGTGTATTATTATAGTCTCACCTGGATGACTTCGATACGCTCCCGGTGAGTTGTCGAGAATAACTACACTTGATAAGTCATCGTGTACGACTGACAGGTCTTTAATATAACTACCTGAATCCAGCGTACAGTGCTGCAAAGGCAAACACAAAGGACAGACGGTATGTATTAATTATTTCCAAATTTTAAAGGCTTAAGATTAACGACTCGTGCAGCATTTGAGTGGCTTACCTGTCTGTAGTATCTTCTTTTGAGGATTGCCTTGTTGTTATCTAGTTTATCCGCTACTGCGGAGCCATAGATCTCCATACTAGCAGTGAAAACTACTAACTCATACCACTGACTGACCACCTCCAGGAAGAAGTCCACGTGCGGCCGTTTATGGACAAAGAATCTGACCGGGTGCTTGTCTATTACCACCTGAAACAACAACAGGTCATGTGAGAGAAACTAGACATTTAGAGTTTTTAAATAAGGATGAAAAATGCTATTATTTACGGTTAATTAGTTAATGAATTTGACTAATGATTATAATAATGGACCCTTTTTACAAGACGTTTAACAGTCATTAACGGTTTACTTGATATCCTTGAAAGCTTTTATTATTTTCATTTTTAAAAAATTGTATGAACATTTATATGCATTTATGAATGTAATATTTGAGTCAAATAACAAAAAAACTAATTACCGCTTACGCGAGGTGTTTCTAATGCAGTGTCTATAGGGCTGAAAGTAAATCGGACGTTATTCTCAGTCTCACACAATTATTTTTCCTTTTTCTGAAAGTCTTTTTTTTTTTTAATAATTTTTAATAATAAAGAAATTCTAACCTTTAACAATTACAATATTAAAAATGGCATGCATTACACTGATTTAAGTAATGGATTTAATAAAGTATAAAATAATAATAATCAAATAAATGTAATACTGTAAAATGATATTTAATATACCATATATAATATTAAGATATTTTTCAGCATTTAAATTAAAAATAATAAATAATAAAGCCACTTTAATTCTATAATGTTTAAATAATCATTAATATTTAAATGTAAAAATGTTAGTTAACAAAAATTGGAGTATAATTAAACATACGTTTATAGTTTGCATTAAAACACATAATATAATAATAATATACTTAAAATATTTAAGCCTGAACTAAGTTTTATAATATATATATAATACATAAATATTAAATTAGTAATTATAAAATAACTCAATTTCAAATATATGTGTGTGTGTGTATATATATAATGTATACATATCTCAGCAATCATAATTAAAATTACATATTATTACAACAACAATAATAAATAAAAATAAATAACCATCAAAAACTACCCTGGTCAAGAACAGGTTCGGATGTCCTAGAAACTTTGGTCAACAGATTATTATAATGTATTTATAATAATTTTTTTTATTTATTCAACAGATGTGCATTATTATAGTGCATACGTAATGTAGTCTGTGATTGAAAAGATTTCTGATCTTACTTTGAGGATGAAATCTGGTGGTGTACCAGGCCGTACTGTCGGTCTGAGGACCCCATCGTGATGGGAATGAATCAACGTCTCATCCAGATCTAAAACCAGGATCTTTCGCTTCACGTTGTCTGAGCAGAAACACACACTGACATGTTAGACCACAAAACACACACACACACACAAACAACAGTCTCAATGACAATTCACACACAGGCCTGAGATGCTAAAAGTGTGAACAGAACACTTCTGCTTTCGGTTGTGATCTCAAAAACAAGAGAAGAAATACTCACTGAGTCTGTTTCTGGAAATGGGCGACAATGATAAAACGTCATATCGCACTGTCTGATACTGGATGATCTAGAACAGGAAGAAGAGAAAACAGGAAACAGTCACCTCTGTCAAGCACACTTCATCAGACGTGTACAACAAACAAGCTCCTGATACATTACTGTGCATATGCTCGATTGGATTTAATAAAGACATTTTACATTTTAATGCATTCAGAAATTTCCTAAACACATTGATCTCTACAAAACAGTAGAAAGAAAGGATATTTAAACAATTCATAAGTGCAGGTTTGATAAAGCTTGCATATAAATGGTGAATGAAGATGAAGAAGAATTCAGACAAAATAATGAAATCACTAAAAACACTAAAGAAGATAAATATATTACAATTTCTTGGGGGATAAAGGGATAAATAGAGGGACCGATGGAAGGATAAACAGATATTAATTTCATTATTTAATTATTAATTTTTATATTTGATTAGTAGTATTGATATCATATCCAAAATAAAAGTTTTATTTGCATAATACAGGGCTCGATATTAACTTTTTTACTTGGTATACTTCAAATATTTAGGAGCACCAAAAAGAATTTAGGACCACCAGAAAAAAAAAATTCTTCCTACTAAGGGCTGGATCATTTGAGCACAGAGACCGTGCACAAAGAATGTAGCTTTTAATTATTGTTTTCATGTCTGAAGGTGGGATTTTTTTATTTCTCGTTTTTATAAAATAGACCATTTCTACATTTCCGGATTTCTCGGCAGAGAAAGTCGTCATAATTGGGTAAACTTAAGAGTGCAGTGAATGGGAAAGTACAACGATCAATTTTTTTTACAATCCTATTTGCTGAAATAATAAGAGAAAAACTGATGGTGTTATCAAGACTTAAAAAGAGACTGTTAACGACAACCAGAGAGAATAACGTCACATTTACTCTCTGCCCCATAGACGCTGCATTAGAAACACCTCGCATAAGCGCAAGTTTGTTTTTGTAATCTGATGCAAAGATGATATAATACATGCACAAAATGCATATACATTTACATACAATTAAAAAAATTATCTAAATATTAAAAAAACTTTCAAAGATTTAACATTATGATGACTATTAAACAAGTCATAACAGACCTGTGAAAAGTCCATTGTACAGTATAATTAATTATACTTATGTTTCAATAAATTATGTTTATTAAGTTTGAATATTAAACATATATTGGCATTAAGGTCATTCTTTAATCAATTAATCATTAAACTAATTGAAATAAATAAATCTCATAATAATATTTATTACTGTTGCTATTGTTGTTGTTTATCTTTTCTATGTACACTAGCTTATTTTTAAGTCAATTTATGTAATGTTGTATTTTTTGTTGAACCATTTAGTTTTAAAAATTAAACTATTGACTTAACCTGGACGGAGATGTTTAAAAATAAAACTTGTTGAATCTTTTATAAACAAAATAACAATTATTATTATTATTATTATTATTATTATCAGTGTTGTTGTCATTAACGTTACCATTATTACTATTAATATTATTATTAACAACTATGATTATTATTTTTAACAGTAATAATAACAATACTACTACTAATAATAATACTATTAATAATTTTATTAAAATATTGATTATTTACTAATATTTACTACAGGATCTGAAAGGTTTTCTTGGCTGCTAATTAAAATTAAAATTTATTTAACCTGTATGACAATGTTTAAAAATAAAACAAACAATAACAACAATAATTATATGGTTGTTATTATTAATAATAACAACAACAACTAAAACAACAATCAAACAAACAAACAATAATATGATTATTATTACCACCACCACTAATAATAAGATATTGATTATTTATTAACATTTACTACGGAAAGCTGAAAGTTTTTCTTGGCAATTTGGCTGCTAATTAAGCTGAATATTTATCTATTTATTCCAGTTAATTTGTGACCAGAAGAAACCCTGATTTAACTATCCTAATCAGCGTCCCGGTGTTACTCATTTCACAAGTGGTCAATCAGCAGCAGCGCCGGCTTTACTCCAGCAAACACGTCACACACACACACACACACACACACACACACACACACACACACACACACACACACACACACACACACACACACACACACACACACACACACACACACACAACCTTCAACTTCATAAACTGAGCTCAAACTAGGATCACTTTGCCTTTAAGAGGTGCGAGAACCTCAGCTTCGGTCCAGCGCTCAGCACAATGTGAATCCTCATCCTCTCTTTCTCCAAATCCCTCTCTTCTGCGCTATCTTTAGCTCCCGCAGCTGTTGAAAAGTGTCAGAGGGACTTCCAGAGAAGTCAAACAGGCCAGGGTGACTTTGAAAAGGGGGCTCTTTAGGCCTCAATAAGGGCTCATTCATATAGTAGACGGGACAAGCTGAACCGGCACCATGTTTGCACGACCGCAGGCTTCTGCCGGTATCAAATTTTCTTGCTGCGATTTAATTGCTTTTTAATCGTGGTATAATCACAATATTGATCTAAGCTCCAAAATACTTTCCACTTTTAGAACAAGACGAAATAATAAAAATTATACAA